TTCTCAATAAATTATCATAAGACACTCATATTATAGCCATAGAAAGACACTCATATTATAGCCATAGAAAGATACTCATATTATAGCCTTAGAAAGACACTCATATTATAGCCATAGAAAGACACTCATATTATAGCCATAGAAAGACACTCATATTATAGCCATAGAAAGATACTCATATTATAGCCATAGAAAGACACTCATATTATAGCCATAGAAAGACACTCATATTATAGCCATAGAAAGACACTCATATTATAGCCATAGAAAGACACTCATATTATAGCCATAGAAAGACACTCATATTATAGCCATAGAAAGACACTCATATTATAGCCATAGAAAGACACTCATATTATAGCCATAGAAAGACACTCATATTATAGCCATAGAAAGACACTCATATTATAGCCATAGAAAGACACTCATATTATAGCCATAGAAAGACACTCATATTATAGCCATAGAAAGCAAATACAAATTTGCTGGAATTTAAATTAGATATACTTATGAATTTGGAAAATTTATAGATTACATTAACCAATTGAAAACACTCACAATTAATTCATTAACTAATCAAGACTAATGACGTAATATTAATGTTATGATTAGAAGGTTATTGATATACAAATATGTTTTGCTATAACTATGTACACGTATCCATGATAATGTGGAACCTCGGCTTTACAGCATGTTTCTTTTATCATCTATCAATGCACGTCCATAACTCTCTTCAAAGTGTTGAAATTCCTAGAAATCAATCATCAACTATCATGCAAACTTGTTGACAAGTCTTGGCTACTTTGACGTAATATTTCTGTCAGCTGCAGTCAACAGACGGCCAATCAGCAAGAGTCTCTTAGGACCACAGTGATATGTTGTCTATTGGTCTAGGTTATTACAGTCTATCACAGTCTGTTACTGTATGCCAAATGAATGTATACCAGTAATCACAAAAATATAATAACAGGTTGTCAAATTGAGGGATAGGCAAGTCATGATAAATTTTTGATTGATTGCAGGTATCACAGAAAGCTCAATGTTCTTACCACCAGTTCCCTCTTTTTATCACAAATTCACAAAATAGTCTTGTTTATAGTCTACACTTTCCTTAAGATTGGGCAAAAATTAGCCGAATTTTTTTGTGTAAAAACTGAAAATTTACTAAATTATGTCTGTTGGGTTCATTTTCAGAAATATACAAGAAATGCAGAAGAATTTGAGCAAGAAAGTCTGGTGATGAAAAGGATAAAGATCTTATCCTACTTTCAGTGGTCCTAGCTCCTACTGAACAACCATGAAAATACATATTAAACATAATATGCACCCTCCCTCCCTCTCCTCTGAGACGATTCCTGGCTGTTTAGTGTTTGCTAATCCCTTTCTCCCATGCATCAGTCACACTTTAGTCAATCCACAGATTCAAAAATTTTGAACACTAGATTTGGTGACACTGATGGACACCGACTGCCAACCATGTTGTAACAGGGCACGCTATATAAATCTCTAAAAGACTTAATCCATAGTCTCAAATTACACTTATCCAAGCATCGCCACGGGTACAGCCTACTCTCAGATGTTACTCAAGTGAAGGAAATATAAAATTGATGACGTTTATCGAAGTCAACTGCTAAATGTAGATTATAATGTCAAAAATCACAGAATTTGGTACAAAATTTAACTTACAAGTAATTTAATTTTTTTGTTTAATTAATAACGATGAGAAATTAATTTGTAACTATCGCAGAATACACAAAATTCATTGCAACTATACCCAGAGACATAGGCAAAACAGAATGAGAAAAGAAAAACAGGGCTGGGTTGTTGGCTTACTTCATGATGGATGGAGTACCATAAACAGGTACTTGTCAGATCAGGTAATATGCGATAAACCTTAGAATCTGAATACCTTTATAATTTTCAGGTTGCATAAATTAAACACCTCTGTAAAGCAAAAAATTTACACAGTATAATCAGTGTTCAATTTAAATATATTTTATTTATGCTTTCTTTTTGGCATTCAGTTTAACCCCCCCCACCAACACCCACCCCCACCCCACCCACCATTGTGCAGCTTTCTCTTTGGTGGTCAGTTTAGACAGATCCCCTCTTTATAATACACATGTATACTTACACATGCTATAATAAGATCACCAATAATTAGATCGCCATCTCTGCGTTTGTCATTCCATTGGTCTATCCTAGCATCCAGCTGCTGTAGGAATCGTCTATGACTTTCAAGGATTTCTGGAATTTTATGAAAAATGACATCCACCATTCCTGCTTCAACAATGCCAGCGTTTTCTGGTCTCTTCAAAGGTTTCATGTATGTCTATAAAAACAAAAGTTATTAGAGATAAGAATTAAGACTTTGATAACTTTTATTGTTTATTTTATTAACATTTTTCACAAATTTACCACACACCGATTTTTCGATCATTTCTTTGTTAATTTTGCTCAAAATGGACATAATTTCCAATTGCCTACAGAGCAAATGACTCTAACTACATGTTTGACCAAAAAAATTTGTCACAATTAGGAGATTTTAATAAAAATAGAAATGATGTCATCATAGAATGCACTACAGCAAATGATGACATCATCATAGAATGTGCTATAGCAAATGATGACATCATCATAGAATGTGCTACAGCAATGACGACATCATCATAGAAGGCACTACAGCAAACGTTGACATCATCATAGAATGTGCTACAGCAAAGAATGACAATCATAGAATGTGCTACAGCAAATGATGACATCATCATAGAATGTGCTACAGGAAATGATAACATCATCATAGAATGTGCTACAGCAAATGATGACATCATCATAGAATGTGCTACAGCAAATGATGACATCATCATAGAATGTGCAACAGAAAATGATGACATCATCATAGAATGTGCTACAGCAAATGATGACATCATCATAGAATGTGCTATAGCAAATGATGACATCATCATCATAGAATGTGCTACAGCAAATGATGACATCATCATAGAATGTGCTATAGCAAATGATGACATCATCATAGAATGTGCTACAGCAAATGATGACATCATCATAGAATGTGCTACAGCAAATGAGATCAAATGCAGACGTGTGTAGATATTTCAACCCCAAATGTGTTATTTTTCTGTGATCCCAAGAATGTTTTTTGCATGAACAAAGACCTTGAACAATGGTTTCAATTAAATAGTTATTATTAGGTCTGTCTCTATTTTAGTTTGTTGGAATCGAATGTCTTCACAATTAATCACAATATAATATCTAGTGATGTCATTTGAATCACACACTATGAGATATCAGTAAATAAATAAATATTAAAGCAGTATTACCAAATATTATTACAAAGTAATATCTACTATATATTTAATTTTAGGTAGTTGACTACCATTAAAACATGATCAAATTTTGTTTTCTTTTGTTCACAGATTTTATATGGTCACCATCTATTCACACAAAACACAGATCAAAAATCCATTAAAATGGTAATTTTTAACCAAGATGGGTTTGGATCCTTATGTGAATTGTTCCAAAAAAGTCCATTTTTGAAATTTCTCAATCAGTTTTTGTCAAACAGAGCAATTCATACAAAGTAAAAACAAGTCTCAATTTCTGGAAAAAAAAGAGTCAGTCATTTTGAATAATTGATTCAAAACTTGAAACCAATGTATCTTAGTACGTATGACATTTGACATTTGACATATGTAAAGTTGCTAATGTATGTACCAAGTTTGAATGAAATTCATCCATACAAGCCAGAGATTCGATTTTGATAAATTTTTAGCACAAAAATGGCCACTATGTGGCCATCTTGGATCAGATGAGTCAGACAGACATTTACGTGTATTCCAAAATATATAATGTAAGTGTGAAGTTTGAATATGATCAGTTGAGGAATGTCTGAGTTACAGACTGGGATGCACACACAGAGGTCAATATATCAGTCAAAGTTTTTGAACTGTGTCTAAAAACCAAACAAAAAGCAAAAAGGTGAAGACATGCAAAAAATAATTTGTCATCCTCATTTATTTGGTAAAATGCCCATAAATAGATTTAGCCTTTAATAGCCACCGTGATTTTCTTAACCAACAAATCTACAAATGGGGAAAAATTAATTTTATAAAAAATCATAATATAATAAGTTCATAGATGATTATAAAAATTATCTTCCTGTTTTTTTTAAATTATAGCCATTTTCTCAGATTAATACATACGTTGAAATTAGTCATATCTAATGATGATGAACATTTTTTAACAGTGATAACATATTATTTGTACATACCTACTACCCTTTATCCCATCAACTCCTCGCTATCTTAAACTAGCTGTTTTTAGCAAATTTCAGAAATAAATGTATTTAAATCTTGAGTGATTAATTTAAGAATTTTATGTAGTACAAAAAATAGGTGGAATTTAGACACCCCTCCCCACCCATCATTTCTCTATTTTTAAAACACAAAACATAATCTAGTTAATTATTTACAAAGTATCATAAATATCTGCATCAAATCTTATCCTAGTCCAGACTACAGAGGTCAGTATGAGGTCACTGGTACCATGTATATACTGGATCCTTTTAAGTTTATTTACATAAGTTTAAAATAACAGATAATAATGGCTATAAGATACACATTATATGTTTGTTTTGCTGACTCAAAATACCAAAGGATTACGGCTATTACATTTTCTAGACACTGGAGAAGAAGTTAAAAAGTACTTTTTTCACGATATTTGTTGACTACAGAAGTTCATATAAAATATTTGTCATGATATTTTAGTCAGATTGCACCCAATAGGTTTAAGATCTGAACAGGGTCGCCAGTCTTGTCTCCATGGAAACAAGGATTTCAAGTCACAAAGCAGCCATTTTGTACAAAACTGCGTGTCAAATTTGGAACTTTGCAAATATTTGTTTATTGTGACCATTATTTTTTTTTTTAAGTGACTTTTGTCAAAAGCTGCCACAGTAATTTTGTTGGCATTCAACAAATGTGCTATTTTAATTTCACTGTAAACTCAGTTCTTTCTCTAAATGACACAGTGGTGGTAATTGCAGACAAAAATGAAACAGTCACATTCCTTGATGAGAATAAACTAACTACAAATGTAATCTAGTTTCAGAAGACAAGGTTATACTTCAACAGCACTGTGACATCCACATAATGACTGACAGAGAAATCTCTAACTGTCCATGTAATCATTTCCATTTGATGTTCAAGCGAATTCTGTTAGATAAGTAGAGTGAGTGTATGCTAACAATTAGTCTACCACACTGTATACTGGTTTTGGGAGAATGGAATATGCCATATTATGCTAGGGCCATTGTTATTGGTCTGACCATGAAAAAAATGATTTGATGTATAATGTTGTAAAGTTTGTTGTGATCAGTCAATGTATGTCAGAGCATGGCTCTAGAACAGCAATTTTATTCGGCCATTTTGAATCCAATCTGTGAAAACTTGCTATATATATTTCAGTGTATGTACCAAGATGGACAATAGCTGACTATGTATAACCTAGATCTGGGTTAAAATTGCCATCTTGAATTGAACTGTCCAATGAATACATGTGCATAGTTGAGACATGATGTATAATAAGTTTGAACATGATTGGATGAGGCATGTCAGATGTCTCAGGAACTGCATTCATTTAAACAAAATGGCTGCCAGTCATATATTGAATCTGATCTGAACATAAAATGATATGCATTAATGTCTCATAATGTCCATTGTATATAGCAAGTTTTAATGAAATCCACTCATACACAACTAAGATTTGGTTCAGGAATAGCAGAAATGCTTGATTCTGATGAATCAAATATCAAAATGGCCACAATTCAGTCGTCTTAAAACAGATTA